GCTGAACAGCCTGGCCCTGGGACAGGTACGTACCGAATGACATCATGCACCTCTTCCTGCCCTGTTTGGAGGCTGTGATGACGCAGTCAGTCACTGATTTCACATTTTTGGCCTTTTTGTACCAGTGTCTCCTGGGCCAGGGAGCATCCTTGCCATCGTTGGTCTGTCAGGAAGTTGCCTGTATCGTGGTGGTATCGTGTCTATGTGACTGGTCCGAGCGCTTGCAGGTGGTCAGTGGGAATATCCCTTCTTCAGATTAAAAGGGGTTAGGGAGGGAAAGGGTGTCAACATCTGATTTGAAAAGGCTGCATTGATTTTTAAAGGCTGGGTCCTCATAGGATCATAAAAAACGAGGGTTGGGGGGGACCTCAGGGAGTCACATCTACTCCAACCCCCTGCTTCAAGCAGGACCAGCCCCAACTTCATCATCCCAGACAAGGCTTTGTCTACCCGGGTCTTCAAAAGGATGGAGAGTCCACAACCTGTCTAGGTAACCTTTTCCAGTGCTTTACTACGCTGCTAGTGAGGAAGTTTTTCCTAATATCCAACCTCAATTTTCCTTGCTGCAACTTGAGCCCATTGCTCCTTCTGTCATCTGCACCACTGAGACCAGCCCAGCTCCATCCTCTTTGCACCCCCCTGCAGGGAGGTGAAGGCTGCTATTCAATCCCTCCTTGGTTTTCTCTTCTGCAGACTCAATCAGCCCATTTGCCTCAGCCTTTCTTTTCCTTCTGCAGAGTTTGTGCAGCTGTGGTTGGTAGGAAGGGACTTTTGCATATGGCCATTGGGTATGGCGATCGGGCATCCCCTCTGTGACTTGCCCCCCTAGACTCCCCCTCTCTAATGCTGCATTTTAGTGAAGAACAGTCTCCTTTCCTCCCAGGGTTACACGCGGAGACGGTGGAGGGACAGCGGTTGGCACGTGCCAGTATGGCACTGCTTGAACATTTAACCTGGGATGGTGCGATGCCAGCGAACGTTGGCATTTGGTCATGGTGCTACCACGCCGATAGGGCCCGAAGTTAGAGAGGACGTAGGCTGCCGAGATTTAGTTTCATCTCGCCTGGGCTCCGTGCGTCAGAGACCAGCGGCTTGATGGGAGTTTACAAAAGGCGAATGAGGCATTTTCCCAGGGGAGGAGAGAGACCGATACAGCCTTTCATTCCCCCTTGTTAATCTAATGGGCTTTTAATGATCAGAACAAGGAGAAAATGGAAGCGGATCCCAGGAGCCCTGGATAAACCCCTGGATGCCCTGAGGATGAAGTGGAGACCCTACAAACCCCAGGTCTTGTAAAAGACCCCACGGCCTTTTTCCTAAAAGCAAACGGCTTACTCTGTTCTTGGCTATGACTTTTCCTCCCCGTTTTGGAGGGGCCTAGGTGGTTCCCAAAGGGCCTTGCTGATTTAGGAGCCCACCTGTAGCACCCGGCGTCTCCTCCATTGCTCATTGTCCTGAAAAACGCAGAGAGCTTCTGGTGACATCCCTATTCAGCCTCGTCTTTTTAAAACACGGGGAATAAAACAACACCCAGAACTGCCATCAACTCCGGGCGACAAGGAGAGGGGCCGAAAAATGCAGGGAAAAAGAAGATAAAAAGTTTAATGAACTTTCTTCATGAGAATTTTGACAACGTTTTTATGACGAAGAAAACCATTTTTTGATTGTAAACGTTTTTTTGAATTATTTCCCCGCCCCCCTGGGGCTGTAGTGACCAGCCTAAAGGAGGGTAATTCCCTTGTTGGCATTGCTAAGTCCTCACCAGCTAACCTTTTTTTTCCTTCTAAGTAGTTCATTGATCTCTTGATGTCCGAGCGATCCCCTGCGCTCGGCACGCACATCTCTTCAGGCTGATCTTGGATGATCGGGGCTGGTTCTGCTTGGAGCAGGGGGGTGGACTAGATGGGACCTCCCGCGGCCCCTTCCTTTTCCGGGCTTCTGCGATCTCCATAGTCGTTTGGGTGGAAAAAGTCGCAAAGCCAGCATTTTGCTGCACGACCTTCTGCTCAAACGGCGGGCCGGAGCAGGGTAGTTGCGAGACGGCGTTGCCTCGAGTTGTCTTTCCAGGAGCAGATAGACAACCGGCCTCCTTGGAGAAACGCACGGCCGCTTTTGGCGTACCGTTTCCTCCCCGTCCCGCTGAACTCTTGATTAGAAAGAGCTGCCCTTCAGTCCTCCCACTGGTTTTTGCAGCGAGCTCACATGGGCCTTACTAATCCTTTCCCTTTGCTTTGAACCCGTCTTCTCGTACCATTGACGGCTCTGGAGACGCTCCAGGCGCGTTACTCACTTATTCCAAGAAGTTTTTAGGGCCGGGTGGTTTGGAGAAGCCTTTTCCAGGGGCGCGCTCGGAGCTCCCTGCTGCAAGGGGGTGTAGAGGTGTGGGGTCTCTCCGGCTGCTCGTCAGATGCTGGATCCCTTCTCCTCTAACTAGGAAATGCCATTGCCGCTCGAGCGGGGAAGGGGGAATGCAAAGTTGCTCCTGATGGCAAACAACCTTCTCGCTAATCATTGCAGCCCTCGGGAATTTGTGCTCTTTTTTTTTTTTTTTTAAGTTGTCACGGCTGTTTTTAATCCCTGACCCCAATAAAGTCACGCAGTGTTAACACAGACAGCAGAGCAGCTGAAGTTACAGCTGTGCTACAGGCTCTGTTTCTCATTTGGGCTTCTTATTTATGGGGATCAAACTTTTTTCCTCCCCTCCCCCTGCCTTTACGTCCTGAAAATCCCAACCCCGTTCATTCAAACGCTTGAGTCTGTGCTGAGGAGCACAAAGGTAGGCATCCAGGTGTGCAAGTTGGGAGCAATGGATGCTGCCCAGCACCTGCCAGGCAGATTAGGGGTAGGCAGGTGATGCTTCTTGCTCCCCTCCAAGGCGCTGTCTTCCGCGGTAGAGCTCAGCATTGAGATAACCGCTGAACGAGGCCGTCCTTAAGAAGCCACATGCAGCTGATGCAAGCTAGCTTGTGGTTTATTAGCATTTAATTACTCGAGGGGGGAATGTAACAGGTAATTACACTTCCCCCACCTGAATGGTTGGTGCCCTCCGCCACCTTGCAGAGCGCACGCGGGCTTTTGATGGCTACTAATCTCACCCAAAAGGCGGTGGCTCATCCAGACTTCAAGGCGATGTCGATTCGGGACGAAGAGCCCCCGCGACTGATTCGGTCATTACGCGTTTCCCCCCGCCCAGTCCTTGCCTGTTGCATGCGGCATTTCCCATCCAAGGATGGATATTGTCCATTTGGAGCGGAGACAAGTAAGAGTAGATTGGCTCGTACCGAATGGCTTTCCACAAAGTCGGTGGGGACCTTCAGTTGTGTCAGAAGACAAGGGGGGACCTGCAGGAAGATTCGAGGATGAGAGCTGACCTGGTCAATGGAAATGCTCTTTTGCATGCGGCGCGAAGAAGAGGGGGAGCTCTTGGCCACAGGAATGAGCTGAGGTCAAGAACCTCAGGCTCCGAAAAGGGCCAGGCATTTATGTGGGTAGGAAAGGACTATCCCAAGTGGTCATAATTAGGACTAGTTCACAGAAAGGGACCATTTGCATCCACTATGTTTGCAGGCAAGCATGAGGACCAAAACGGTGGGCCTTACGCTACTGTCTGATTGAAAGGTCTAATGCAAGGGGCAGGTGGCCAGCTACTTGCGTACCGTGGGGGCTGCATCTGCCATTGAAGCACCTAAAACTGGCTACGGTCATCAGAGACAGGGCACTGGTCTAGGTGGGCTGTGTTTTTGCATGCTTGGAAATTTCCTGGCCAGTTGCAAGCTGGCTTGGCTTGGGGGTTGCACCGAGCTGCAAGGAAAGCTGTGGGGCTGCGTGCTTTCCCGGTGGCTGAAGAATTAGCAGCAATACCGGGGGGCTTTTTCGGCACAGCTCTCCTTGGTCCCCAAGTAAGAGGTGATGGGGAAAGAATAGGGTCAGTGGCCAAAGTGTTTCTGCGATGACTTCCCTGCCCAGGTTTAGTGCTTCACCGTGAGAGCTCTGCTGGTCTTTGAGTTGGATCGAGCCCGGGTACAATTCTCCAGGCTATCGTTACCACCATCCTTGATTGCAGAGTGAGAACTTCCCACCCGTATATCAAAAGGACTTAAATTACAAGGGGTAAATGCAGAGTCTCTTTGGTTTCCTCGTTGCAAGGATTTTCTGATGTTGGGGGAAACGGGGCTGTCTTACTTTTTTTCCTTTTTGGTCCCATGAAGTTTGGAGGGGTTATGAAGATGCAGCCTAGAGGCATCCCAGAAGCTGTAGGAAACCATGACTATGTACCACATTGGTAGCCTTTTGAATCCTAGGCATGGAAAACATGGTCAGCAGCCGTCAAGGACTTCACTCATGCTGAGCTAGATTTCCCCGGGGTCCGACTTTTGAGTGCATATCCCGCTGGTCAAGATGCACGGACTAGATATCCAGCTCTGCGGGCAGGCGGCTTTTGTGGGCTGACGGACAGAGCAACCCCCTCGTTCGAGCGGGCGAACCGGGGCCCGGACACACACAGGGCCCAAAAATGGTAATTAAAAAATTATTATGATCGTTATCTCTGGCAAAGGGGGGCCCCGATACAAAAAGTTTGCCAGGAGTCTGCAGGCCACGTATTAAAGGCAAGGCTGCTGTTTTTTATGTGCAGATGCGACGTGGGCTCTGCCCTGCAGCCCTAAAGCTTCAGTGGCTTAGGATTGCACCCCATAAAGGGGTTACTGCATGCCTGTGTGCACCTCTCTGCATGCAACCTCGGTCGGCTGGCCCAGCTCGATCCTAGGCTTCTCCTTCCCTCCTCGATGGCTCGCT